CTTTCGTTTTTCCTTTGTTCACGAGATTATTCCGAGGCGAGAGAGGTCGGCGGGTCAGGTCGAATTTCAAGCTGCAAGATGCGGGGCCGCGCGAGTACGCGGCGCAACGTCGTCGCGCAATTCCGCGCAGTCGATACAATGTAGGGAAAACTGGACGAACGAAAGTAGAGAGTCTGGCCCCGCTTGAGCCCGCGAGAGATTCATTCACAAGCGGTTGGCAGCGGTCGAAGAAGGATTATTACGATCGATGCCCCCCGCCGGCCGTCGCGAGCTCGCGTCTTCGCATCGCCGCGACCACGATGATCCCCGTTCGACGATCGTTGTTCTCCCCATTGTCGGGGATGTGAATTTCATTTCGCACACGCGTGCGTGTCTCTCCATGCGCGACACTGTGACTCGCGACTCGCGACTCGTAAGGCGAATGCGTTAACGCTTCTGTTGTTTTTGGCTGTATCGCGACGATCACGTAAGCGAGGCGCGAACGAAGAAAAAGCCGAGCCGCGTAATCGCGGACCTCTCTCGCGAGAGCAGTCTCGCGGAGTGCGGAGAGTCTCCTCCAAACAGATAATAAATTTCCGAAAGCAAAAAGATGATGAACCGAAATTCTGCCTCCCTTCCTCTCTCTCTCTCTCTCTCTCTCTCTCTCTCTCTCTGCCCGTCGCTCTGATGCTTCATAGTTACCAGAAAAATATCACACACACACACACGGGCACTATTTTTTATCGGACGCTGTCCGATAAACTCATCATCAGATACCGCTTTACCGCGCGCGCGCGCGCGCAGTTGTTTACACACTTTTTTGCGAAAAACATGCAATTTGTCTCGTCGAAAGTATGATTGTGACATCACCTGTGAAACTCTGTCGTCTTCATTATTACTCAATCTCGTGTTTTCCACGCGCATCCACCGAGACTCAGCTGCACGTTCAATAACGTATTATTATTATTATCGTCGTTATTATTTATGTTTATATACCGGATGGTGGTGGCGATTACGTGAGCGTTGAATCAGATGTTTTACGTAAAAGATGTCGCGCACCCTCGCGCCGTACGGTCGGATACGAGACAGAGAGAGAGAGAGAGAGAGAGAGAGAGAGAGAGAGAGAGAGAGAGAGAGAGAGAGAGAGAAAGAGAGAAAGAGAGAGAGAGCACTTTGCCAATTGTCCGCCGCCGCCGCCGCGCTCTCGAACTCGCGTACACGTCTGCTAGAATCTTCCCGCCGACGTTCTCCCAATTTCCCGCGTCTCGTAATAAAAAGGCGGCCGCACGTGCCAGTTGCCGGGGAGGGGGGCACTTCGCGGCGCGACGCGCGGACGATTTATCGTCGCATCGCGACGACGTTAGGGCGATACGCCGACAATTTCAGCGCGAACGCGCGACGTGTCGTAACGGCCGAGACCGCGGGAGATCGGGAAGAACGACCTCGCCGTATTATTAGCAGCCATTATTACGATATATCTTCGCGGCGCGCGTACGCGCGTATTTATCTCGCGCGACGCGACTCGCGCGCTCTTCGTTCCAATCGCGGCCGCTGCTGCTGCTGCGGCGACGAACTTACGGAGAGAAACGCGTGAGCGCGAGAACCACTGACGATCGCAAAGTCGACCCATTTCCACCACGGAGCGCTCGAGAAAAAGACGGGTTTTCTTTTCTTTCCTTTTCTTTTCTTTCTAAATACGTTATGCGTAAGAGAGCAAACAACAATGTCGCACGTAAATTTCCTGCGGCTTCGTTCTCAACGCCCGTCACGAGCGTCAAATGCAAAGTCGTTCTACAAGTTGGAGTAATTTCCGGAAGAAATTACGGTCGCGTTTCGAGCGCGCTTCGCTCGGTCCTTCAGCGGCGAGTGAAGCGATTCACCGACCGCATTCGATTGTTCCTCAACTGTGAGGAGAAGCGACGACTGTGCGCGGTCGGCCCGCTCGCACGTCGCTGAAGTTTCGCGCTGCTCTCGTTGTTCCGTCGCGCGACTTTAAGGGGACTGGACAGTCAGATTGCTGAGAAATCGTGCTTGTTTTTGACGATATTTCGCGATCAACTGAATAAATGCGTGCAAGAGTGAAAATTTTAGGTATATTTATACAACGTGTGAAGAGTAGAAGAATTTTGTTTATTAACAAACACTCATATAAATATGTACGATATGTACAGCTGAAATATACTCTCCTCTCTTTTTTTCCAAGTTATCGTTCGTGCAGTAATTTGCTCGGCTCTCGGTGGCCCGATCGAAGAGCGAATTTTAGCTAGAAATCTTAAGGAGGCTTATCATTGTCCGGTGAAGCACTGTAAAAAAAAAATCGAACAAAATTAACAAAATGGCAGCTATTATTAGGAAAAAATTCAAATTCTTCGGTTCTTTTACGGTGAAAAAATTAACATGTCGAAGTGAAATATTTTGACGGAGCTGTCTATGGTTCACCTGCGAGCCAGATGAACAAATATTATTGCTTTAAAATCTCAAATCGACACGAAGCTCAGAAGTTTCGGAGAAATCACTGCGAAAAATTGAACGACAAAATTTCGAGAGAAACGCGTTTAAAATTCAAATGGACGTATATTGACACGAATACTTGTTAATGAAAAGAATTCTTCTATTCTGCATATGTTATATAAATATATCAAAAATTTTCATTCTTGCACGTTTATTCAGTTCGTCACAAAATATTATGAAAAAAACAAGCACGATCTTTCGCAATAATCTGACCCTCCAGTCCCCTTAACGCCGATGGACGACGAGCCATCGAGCCGCGTTTTACGTACACTCGTACACGCTGGATTTGCGACGCGAGTAAGGCCCTCTCTCCTCAGGCGGGCACGAATCACTCGGCGCAGCATGCGACAATAGGAACGTCGCGCACTCCCCGCGCGAGGGACGCGCGCGTTTCTTTCCAGCATTCGTCGTTGCGCGCTTATTGCTGAACGATTTAGTGGGGCCTGAACGATTTAGCCTCGGCGATTCCGCTCGGAGGCTGCTGCCGGCTTATTTGGCGCTCGCAATTGTCGTCTCATCGCGTCCGTCCGCGAGAGAAAAATTACACGCCGCGTCGGCGGCGGCACGTGAGAGGTCGAACGCGTTGCGACGCCCCGTTTATGGGCCCCTCCCTGGGCCTTGAATATTTTTACACTTCTCCGTAAGCCCCCGCGTCAAGTCCCCCCGCGACGCGACGAGCGGCTGAGTAATTGAATTAGAAATCGGCTCTCGCGTGTCACTCTGCGAGAGATCGCGACGAGATCGCGTAATGAGCTCGCTTGGTCGATCGCGCGAGGAAGCGCGGGACCTGTCAAGAATCGCACGCAGGAGAGAAAAGGAATTGCGAATCGTCGGGCAGTCGCGCGCGCGCGCCTTCGGCCGTGTGGTAAATTTCTCGCGGAAGCGCAAAGCACGTGAAACATTTTTATCGAGCCGCGACTGCTTTTTTTTTTACCGACGCGCATTCCGTATTTCGGAATTTGCGCCGCCGAGCCGAAACAATCGATATTCGCGAGACAAAGTCTCGCAGTTTGTCACGCGCGAGTCGGCGAGCTCTCTCCTGCGCCCGCCGGCAGATAAATCTCGCGGCGGCGGCAACGACAATGAATTTTCGCCCGTTCTTCCCCCGTTCTTTTTCTTCCACCGTTTGTTTATCCGGATCGAGCGCCGCCATTCTTGCTCGCGCGTTTTCGCGCGGGACACCGTCGCGCTCGGCTCCGCCGTTTAACTCGAACGCGCCGCTGACGCTTCACGTGCAAGTGAAAAATACCATCTGGAAGTCAGCCAGTGAAACTATTTCCAGAACGAGTGGCACAAATAGCGTTGTTGTGGCGAATACGAGCGCGCGCGCGCGCGCGCGCTCGTTGCGGCCGCACTCGCCGCGCCGCTCCGAGGAATTGCTACGCGTGAATCGCGCGCAGTCGGCTCGCGATAATGGCGTGGTTTGGAAAAAGGCGACGTAGTTTGCGCCGCGCAGGGCTTCCGAGCTGATAATCACGTCTAAATATTAATCCCGCGGCGACGATCGTAATCTCGGCGCGAGAGGCCGAGTGAGGAAGAAGGCTGAGAAGAAGCACAGCAATTCGCGATTACGATAGCCGTTTAGCGATACTCTAACCAGTATAGGTCGACAATTCAAATTGCCGCGCTCAATTTCTCCGAGGCAAAATCCAAGTCAACGCGCGGCAATGAAGCTGCTCTCGCTCAGCAAGCTCGCCAACTTGTATCGCATAAATTCATCATTGGAAGCGATCGCGATCGAGCAGCTTTTACGTCGCGCAAGCAAATTCGTCGTGCGGGCAAAATTCATTCGCCGTGCGGATTGCTTTATGATAAATCCGTCACTCGGCCGGCGCTCCGCTCGCCGAGCGTGAAATTGTCCCTAAATAATGCGCGTCTACATTTATCGCGGCGCAGCCCGGCAACGAAACAACGTCGCGCTGCTCGCCGCGGATAAGCGCGCGTATGACGGGCCTCGTAAATCCCGCTTATCAACGGGGGTGGGGGGGGGGACGTCAAGTCGATCATTGGTGGATTCGCGGTGCGCCGAAATCAACGGGAGCATCCAGCGCGGATTTCGTCAACGCGGTCGATAGGCCGCGCCCCGCCAGAGAGAATGTGAGAAGCGAGGATGCGATCTTCCTCGCAAGAATCGCGTGACAAATATCGCGAACGCGACTCGGCATCTCGCCGAGTTTCTTCAAGTTGCACGCGAAGTCTTCGCACTTTGCCAGTGCGAGCGACATCACGACATCGCTGTAAGATACACACTTGACTCGCGCGAGCGACTTGAGCGAGCGAAGACGAAGCGAGGCGAGAGGCGTTTCCAGCGAAGCCGTGGAGTGAGACTAATCGCCAGCTTTTCCCGCGAGATCCCCGATAGATAGCGTCGTTATCTCGTAGGAAACGCGCGCGTGTCGATACGACAAGTCGATCGAACATGAGAGTTCCGCGCGCGCTTTGTGCGCGCTCGCTCGCTCGCTCGCTCGCTCGCGCACAGCTGTTTCTCTTGTCTGCGACGAGAAAGTTACCTTATTGTTCGCTCACTGGAGATCTGCTGTGCTATTCTTGAGTTTCGTACGTCCTTCAACTGCAAGCACACGGAAAAGCACTCGTTACACACTTGCGGCCTTGAACGCGCTCAAACGCATCGATTGCCGATCGCACGAGGCAGGTCCGCGCGTTTTTGTGACGGTTGATAAGCGACTGATAAACGTCGTCGCTGCGGGCCTTCGTCGTTGCGCCTCGCGCAATCGAATCTCCGCGCTCGTTTCCGCGGCGTGTCGGGGCGACCACAAAGTCTCTCGCCGCTAAGGAATGTCACTCGTGTTATACTACCGCGATCGAAAACTGTGATCCGAACTTTATTTTTTAAAAATCGCGGGTAAAGCTGTGAATCAAATCCGTTTGCTCTCTTAATAAGTTGATGCACGTGTCCCTTATATTTGATGAAAAAATCATGGCGTTCCTTCAAGCCGTTTGAGAAGTTGTCGGCGGTTGTTTGTGTCAGTGAAGATGTTGCGCACGGCGATTTTTACGACGTCGAGAAATACGGAGCAAAGAACTTGTTTGAAATTTTGTGCCGCGAACGAAATTTCGCACTCACAAACGCATTGAAAATGTTGCAAAAAGCTCACGGCGATGATTGCTTGCCGGAAACAAGTTTCAGTGGTTTCAGTGGTTTCAGAAGTTTCAAGAAGGATGAGAGAGTCCGTTGAGGACGAGACCCACGCTCTGGAAGACCATCAACGTCAGCGGATGACGCTCACATTGAGAGAGTGAAAGAATCGGTGCGCCAAAATCGTCGATTGACTGTGCGAGAGATAGCGGATGAAGTTGGAATATCACTTGGATCTCGTGCCAGCACACACAATCCGTAAGAGACGAGAGCGGAATTGCGGGAGAACAACTCGTGGATTTTGCATCACGACAACTTTCGCACCGTCGCACACCTCGACCTGTGTGCGTGAATTTCTGAGAAAAAACTCAACGAACGTCGCTCCGCAAGCACCGTATTCACCAGACACCAGCAGAGAGGCCCCCTGCGACTTTTTCCTGTTGCTCCTACTGAAAAAGTCCACTTCGCGGACAGCGGACAGCGTTTCGAATCGATTGAGGATATGAAAGAAAAATCGCTGCGTGAATTGTGAAGGCCGCATACCCCGCGTCTGCCGCTAACGAGCGATGTTTCCGAACAGGACTGGATCAAACGCTGGCACATGTGCGTTGCAAGCAATGGGGGACGCTACTTTGGGGGGGACTGTGAGAATTTTCACGATTGAATTGTAACTTTGATTTTTATTAAAATACAAAGTTCCGATACCTTCTCGATCACAGTGTGGTGCAGACAAATCACAAGAGCGAGAGAGCGAGAGAGTCGGCCGGCGAACGAGCGCGAGGTGCGCGCGTGGTCGCCGACTGTGAGCGCAAGAAGCGGTCCGACCGATCGAATGGGGAAAAAGGAAACAAACAGGAAAGAGAATCCGTCCAATGCGCGCCGATGACGCGGGGACTCTGCGAATCGCGGGACAAAGGCTCGCAATTACCGCGGCCATGAACCGCGCCGCGAGTCGCCGAGTGTCATTAACAAAGTTCGCGGGTCAAAGTTACACGCGCGCGTGTACGTGTCTGTGTTAATAACCGAAGACGTCTGTGCGCCGGCCCGGTGCGTTCACGCGAGCCAACGCGACTGCGGAACACAATCGACCTCCTTCCTCGTGGAGAAGGGCTGCCCGCCCGCGCGCGCGGAGGGAGTATCGGCGCCATTTTTCCGAGTTTCCAAACGACTCCTCCTCGTCCTCCTCGTAAATGCCACGTTATCAATTATCGATTCGCGCACGGCCAGGCGTTCGGACAGGAGGGTGAGGAGCGGCGCGGCGCGCGTTGGAAAACAACGCGGCGACTGTTAATGCGCTTTCGTGACGTCCGGTCGGAGGAATGCCGTAATCCCAGCCCCGAGCCGTCGAGAGGAAATTTCGCGAAGCACGCCCGTGAGCGTGAGTCACGTCTCCCCCCGTTGACCTGATCCAATTTCTAAATAATCCGAGAGAGAGAGAGAGAGAGAGAGAGAGGGGGAAAGGAGGAAAAAAGGAGAGCTGTGTTCGCGCACGAGAGAAAATCGTCGCGGCGAAATAGCCGGCGAGCATCATCGCGCGACGGGGAAGTCGTGCGAGAGAAATTACGAGCGATAAGCAGGCTGCCGAGATGTACAATCGAGCGAATCAATGCGCGGCTGAGAGAGCGCCAGAGAGGGCCTGCCCCGAACGCCATTTTCCTCTCGCGTATCATAATTGAATCGAACGTAACGCGTAATAATTTTTCCTCGATGTTATCAGCTTTCGCAACTCGAGGAGCGCCGGCTCCTCCATCCGTGTGTGTGTGTGTGTGTGTTTGTTTGTTCGCTCGATCGAGCAAAGTCGCTCGTGTCGTTTTCGACACGTTCCTTCCGCTTTGACGCACGTTGAATTGTGCGAGGCCGCGACCTCGCACGCGCGATCGCGGACTCGTTTTTTGCGGGCCGCGACGTAACCCGAGCGTTTCCACGGAGCTCGAGAATACATATACCGAATGCGAGAAGGGGATGACTCGACGTCATCCCGCTGCGCGGATGAAAAAAGCCCGACGAGGCCCCGGCGAGGAGGATCGAGAGAAGTCGGCTCGCTCAAGATAAACAGGAAGTCGAGCGCACACTGACGCAATCGCGTCGATCACTTTCATCGCGCGGGATTCCGGCTTTCGTGCGGAGCGGTAACGATCGCTTTCATAATAGCGAGCGTGCCACAAGCATGGCGTCGTGGAGCTAATGCACTTCTTGCGACTACGAGTTCCGAGCGTGAGCGAGCGAACTGATGGAAACTGATGATGGAAACTGTCTGTCGAATAAAGCCGAATGTCTTTTTTTCGTTGCAGCCGCAGAACGGCGGTTGTCGCACCATGACCCAATCGTTCGGCGACAACCGCCCGCCGGCCGCGATTGAACAGTGTACTTTGATCGGGCTCGGCGTTCTCGCGAGCGTACTTTCAAAGCGGCCGGAATTATCATTTCCGCTCCGCCGCGCTCGACCCGCCATTTTCCGTGAGCGACGTCGACGATGCATGCGACGTGGTCGCTGGGGTACCCCCCCTCCCCCCCGATGGTATACCGTCGTAGAATAATTGCGACAAGTGTGGCCGCCATGAAGGACCCGAGAGCTTGGGCAAGTTGGGCTGGTAAGCGAGCAGCGCGAGCAAGGTAATCTCGATTATCCGCAGCTTGCAGAGTGAGATGATAATTCACGACGTCGGTCACGTTTTTGCAGTGACCGATGACCGTCCGCGATAATCGCGACGACGAAACGTCGCGCAATCGTCGCGCTCGCAGACGGAAGTGCAGAAAGCCCGCTGTTCATCTCCGTCGCGTAACCGCGCAACTTTCACGCACTCGAGTTCCCCAGGGTCAGCGGTATGAGTGGCCGCCGAAGAGGCCAATCAGCCGTTAAGGCTGATCTTCACGGCTACGGCGATAAGGGAAAGTACGAGAGGCTTTCGACGAAGATGCGACCCTTTAAGGAGCGCTAGCCGGGGGTAGTTTTGACGCACCACGACGACGGCGGCGGCGGCGGCGGCGGCGGCGGCGGCGGTGGGCGGAGGAAGGGAGCGGGCAGCGCGACGAGGGGAAATATTGATCGCACCGAAAACGCTCGCCCCAGAAACGGGATCTTCTCTGTGTCTCGAGGCGCGCCGGAAAGAGGAAAACGCGCGCGCGGGGCGGCCGCGAGAGCCGAGATCGCACATATATCTCTCGCCGGGTGAGTTTCTACGCCGAGTCCGCCGAGTATCGACGTCTCGCAGAATCGAGTCGTCGTCTCTGGAGCCGGAGCCGGAGCCGGAGATTTAAATCCGCGCCGACAGCCGTCGAAATCCTCGCCCTCTCTGTCTCTCTCTCTCTCTTTCGCTCTTTCGTGCGCGAGGGTAATTTAAACCGCGCAGGAGGCATTCGCTCGGGAAAATTGCGACACACAAATTGCACGTAATGGTTATTGCGGGGTGGCGGAAAAAAATGGGAAACGGAGCTCGAGCACACGCGCGACGACGACGACGACGACGACGACGACGACGGGGTCGGCAACACGAACCCCGAGCGCGCGAGTTGACCTACCGAGCGCGAACGAGCGCGCGCGCATCCGCGGCTCGAAATAATGCGCAGCCTGCGACGGTACGCGATTCTCGCTCGCGCCACCGTCGTCGTCGTCGTCGACACGTATGTGTCGACGCGCGTCGCGCTCGGCAATCTCACCGGTGTGCGAGCGCGTAATTTTTTCAAGTACACACGCGCGGCGCATACTCCGGAATTAACAAGTGGACGGCGAAGCGTCGCGGAGCGCCGGAGAGAGAAAGGAAACGTGCGAGCGAGCGAGCGAGCGAGAGACACAGAGAGAGAGAGAGAGAGAGAGAGAGAGAGAGGGAGGGTAGAGAGAAAATTACGAAGAATCGTTAAGGGTCCTCGTGTCATATTTAGACGTACGTCGAGCGGAGGTCGCGCGAGGGTTGAATTCTCAAGGACGCGGCAGTGACGTAGGCGAGAAGAGGGTGGTGGTCTATTTTAACCGGGTGATCGATCGCGCGCCGTACCAACCCTGCCGAAGCACCGGCACCGGAATATTTCGTAACTTCTGCCGCGCGGCCGATCTCCTAGCGCCGCTATTCGTAATTTCGGCTCGTGCGGCACGCGAGGGTTATTGAACCGCGAGATAAGAGCATCGTTCCGCAGCGCTAAGTTTCCGCTTCGCCGCCGCCGAGCGTTAAGTCCGGCACGCCCGCATATACGCGCGCGCGCGCTCGTAATCGATCTCGTTCTCGAGAAATTAGACCAGCGTGACAGGAGGTTGTTGTTGACACTTTGCTTCGTCTGACAACGCACACGCGTTCGTTATTGTTTACACGTCTCCGTCTCGTAATTGCCGCGGCTGCGGACGCGGTGTTGCGTCGATTGCCGATTGCGGTGTGTGCAAGCCGCAAATAATACGACGTAAACGTAGCCAGTTGACGACGTTTTACACGAGACACAGGTCCACCAGACTCAGCGAGGAATCTACAGGTGAAGAGACGGCT